TTTATAAATTTTAAATTATAAATTTAATTTTTAAATATAAGTTGAGATATTGATGTTTTGAAGAAAAAAAATTGATATATATTAATCCCTATATTATTAATCTATTAAAAGTATTTTATTATTTTTATTATTATTCATTACATTTTATCTATTTTTTACTATTCTAAAATGTAAGGGCATATATAAAGCACTTAAATTTACTCTAAATTCTTAATTAAATCTCTAAATTTTTATTAAAACAAATAAATCTCTAAATTTATTAATGTAAGAATTTAATTATTTTTTTATGACGAATTTATTATTAATTTGTATTTTACGTGCGTAAATAAAATGAAAATGAATACGTAAATAATAATATATTAATATTTTATTTATTAAATAATTGATAAATGGATATTAAGTTCGTTATACAGAAAAGATCACCAAATTTAAATTTTTATTTATTTCATTAAAAATTTATGAGTTTAATAAAAAAAAATTTGAAGCAAATTAAAGGCTTAACATAAAATTTAGCTAAATTTAAGTTACTGCTACTCCTAATAAAGTCTAAAAAATTTTCATGTAAAAAAAAATCCAAAAAAAGAAAACTCCAAATATTTTGGAGATGTTTTCTCTCTTTTCAATAGAAGTAGAATTGAAAGGGCAAAACATTCAAATTCGAAGAACAAAATTAAATATTTAGACAAAAGAAATCGAAATGAAGAAAAGTAATGGGCATTTACTCGCCGAGAAGCCGTGGCTCCCATTCGGCATCCTCATCCTGGCTTCAGTCACCTGTGCGCTGCTCCTCATCGCCGTCGGCCGGACGTTATCTTCGAGTGCCCCGTTGTTGTGCTCCCTCAATGCCGCCTATGCCAGCTCCGAGGCTGCTGCCATCTCGGCAGATTACGCCACCACGCCCACCCAGCTCCTCGCCATCTTCCATTACGCCACGTCGCGCCAGATCCCGCAGCAGTCGCCCATGGAGATCCGCGTGGCATTCGACATCCTTAAGGAACTGGCGCCCTGTAACCTCCTTGTCTTTGGGCTAGGGCACGACTCTCTCATGTGGGCTGCCCTCAATGCGCGTGGAACCACCTTGTTCCTCGAAGAAGATCCCGCCTGGCTCCACGCAACCCTCCGCAATGCCCCTGTCCTCCGCGCCCATTTCGTCGCTTACCGCACTCGTCTCTCTCAGGCTGACGAACTCCGCTCCTACTACAAATTCGATCCTCATTGCTTACCTCCGAACATACGCCTTAAAGGTAATCATCTTCCATTCTAATCTTGTTTTAATATATCATGTTTATATATATTATATATGCATATACTAGGGTAATGCACGTAACAAATTAATAAAATTTTGATACATAAATAAAAAATATTGTATATCCTTTTAAAAGGATATGTTGAATTATTATTAATTCATTGTTGTATATGATTCATGTTTAAAAACCGAGTAATGATGCAGCGGACGAAAACGCAAGATGAAAATGAAAGACGACAAGTGATGTAAGGAGGTCAAATTAGTAATTGCACTACATACATAAATCTTACATCACTTATCGTCTTCCATTCTCGTCCCACGTTTTCGTCCGCTGCATCATTATTCTTAAAAACCTTATTGATTGTTAAAATATTAGTATTTATATCATTTCAGTATTTCACATTGTTAGAATTAATAGGTTAAACTCTAAATGTATCCCTCAAATAGAAAGTTAAGGACAAATTTACTCTAAAAAAATATATAGAGATAAATTATTTTTTAAAATTATTGATTAAGATAAATTATTTATTATTTAATGTGTAACATTATTACACATCAATTTTTTGTTAAAAATTGTTTAAGTAGTAAATGAATTTTTAACATGTAATAATGTTACATATTAAATAATAAATAATTTTTCTTGATCAATAATTTAAAGAGATAATTTGTCTCTATTATTTTTTTTTTTTTTGAAGAAAATTTGTCCCTATCTCCTTATATGAGAGGGCAGATGATAATGAGGTAGACCTTTCATGATTGATAAGCAATTTCAATTGTTGATAAAGGGTGGAATATTAATTGACATATATGATTTTGATTTAGTATCTAAGAAGATGATTTTGGGGGACAGGTAATAAGCAATGCAAGTTAGCATTAAGCGAGCTGCCGGAGGAGGTGTACGAGAAGGACTGGGATATAATAATGATAGATGGGCCAAAAGGGTTCTATCCGGAGGCGCCAGGGAGGATGGGGCCGATATATTCAGCGGCGGTGATGGCACAGCGGAGAAAGAATTGGGGGGTGACGCATGTGTTCTTACACGACGTGGAGAGGAAGGTGGAGAAGGAGTATGCGGCGGAGTTTTTATGTAGAAAGTATTTGGTGAAATCCGTGGGGAGGCTTTGGCATTTTGCAATTCCACCTGCTCCTAATGTAACCGATGCCACTGCTGCTGCTTACAATTCCACTTTTTGTTAAGAGTATAAGATCCAATTAATGTTTTCTTATTTTATTTTATAATTTTATCTGTTCTCCACCTTTGGATAAAGCTGTTATTCATTTTTTTTTTCTTAAGATTTTAGCCTAAATTAAAAGAGAAGATAAATAGATAATTTTGAGGGTATGAGCAATATTTATGCTTGTAGGAATTAGAGTTTGTAATGTTTAGTGGTAAAAAACGAAAAAATGAAGAATGATGTGGAGCAAGGTTTTTAAAACCGAATTGGTTATTGAACCGTTTTCAGGTTTGGTTTTTGGTTTAATTGGTTCAATCAATTGAACCGATAAATCGGTCTGTCCAAACCACAAGGGAAATTTGATGAGAGAGGCAAGTAATTTTATAATTTTATTAAAATTAAGGGTTAAAATCCAAGGTTTGTAAAACCAGACCAGTCATTGAACCTTTTTAGGTCTGGTTTTTGGTTTAACCGGTTCAACCGATGAACCGGCCAGTCCAAATAGCAAAGAAGATTTGATGAGAGGAGCAAGTTGCAGGCATGGATTTTCTAATTTGGTGTTGATAATTTTGTAATTTTGTTAAAATTAAAGGTTAAAATGGGTATAAGAAAGGAATGGGAAGGGTGAAATTAGAAAAAATTGAAAGAAGATTGCATGAGAAATTGAACCGGTAGTTTTTTTGGTTCCATCGATTTCATCGGTTTTTATTGGTTTTTATCGATTTTTACCGGTTTTTTACTGATTTTGACCTCAAACGGTTTTCTTATGTAAACCAAACCGTTTTCATCACCAAGTACTAGTTTGATCGGTTCAACCGACAAGTCCGGTCCAATTTTAAAAACCTTGTTAAAATCGATATAAGAAAGGAATTGTGAGGGTGAAATTGGAAAAAATAGAAAGAAAATTGCATGAGAAATTGAACCGATAGTTTTTTCGGTTCTACCGGTTTCACTAATTTTGACCTCAAATGATTTTTTTATATAAACCAAACCATTTTCATTATTGAGTATCGTCTGACCGGTTCAACCAGCCGGTCCAATCCGATTTTAAAAACCTTGATGTGGACAGTGGGATTTGAACCCACGCCCTTTCGGACCAGAACCTTAATCTGGCGCCTTAGACCAACTCGGCCATCTCCACTTCTGTACGTTCAAGTGTATAGTTTTTTAATATTTATTTTAGGTTAGATGACAA